CCGTGACCCCGAGCCGGGGAGCTCCGGCGGGCTGCTGAGTAACGCGAACTAAAAGTAACAGAATCGGGCGAAAAGTGACGCCGTGTCCAGAGCAGCAGCCTAATGGTCTCGGTGTTAATGGACGTGCTGTCTAGATCTAGAGCACTCATGACATATTTCGGACGCCCGGCCTACGATTGTGTCACTTTTCTCACTTTTCTTATTCCCCATTTCCTCCCATCTTACTCATAATTTCAAATAACCTGCAAATCTAAGTCACAAAGTGAATTTATTTGCCTCTTTAACTCTTTCTGGACGTAGTTATTTTGGGGTCTAGACATAATTAACCTGCGGCTCGATTTGGCTATGCAGGTGGTGTACAAAATAACTTCATAGAAGCATAACCACCCCTCAAAATGTAACATATGATATATCAAATTGAAGGAAATTGAATGAGGAATACATCCCAATTGAAACAAAGATTAATTTTAAACATAAGTATGCATTAAGAGGGTTATAAATGGCGATGGTGATTAGAAAAATATATTTTGATGGAAAAAATTACATTCACCAAACATGTGAAAGCAAATCAGCATAGCTGTCTTATCATATACAGGCCAAGAGCATAGTCCATAAATTTCTGAATGCACAGCTTTTTATTTGAAATCAATATTCCAATTTTTGTTTGAGTTATGATATTTATACTGAGTCCGGCTACATCGTTTTGTTGATTCAAGACCGAAAGAACTAATTCACTCGTTTTTCCCCAAACCTATGCTTTAACAAAGTGAAACTAGATGTTTTTGTTTCCTAAATCCTTTCTGAGTTTTTCAATAGCAATAAAAAGTAATTATAAATGACGGATCGTGTTAAAACGAAACAATACTGAGGCACCCTATCACAGCCGATATATTGGTGATACATCCACAGGGGGTGCGAACTCTCGCAGATATATCGACGATACGTCCAGAAAGAGTTAAAGTCATTTCGATATTTACATTTTGCGAGAGCACACGGCCGCCCCCAAGCCTTGATCTATGTTTATCAATCGCTGGCAAGCCTAGCAGTAAAGTAATACTAATAGCAAATTTGGTACAAATATGCGCGTCTTTATTCCCGAATACGAATCAACACCGTGCTTGTGGCTGAAACTCTGTACAGAAAAACTAACAAGAGCCAGGTTATTATTGTGACGTACATGTACCATCATATAGGCAACCAAGAGTGGCAAATTTTGCCGACTTCCGTGACGTATATGGTAGGGCACAGCGCTAGAAATTAGGCGTTTTCATGACATACCAGGTACGTCGTAAGGCCACGAAGTGTTAACTCTTCAAATTCTTCTATTTTGCTGGAGAAATATTATCTTCTGCGGATGTATTAATCATTGTCAGACATTGACGGACGAGCCATTATTAATATAGGTTTATTCCTTTAGAAAAATTTGTCTTGTAAAGAGTTTGTGGTTTTGTTGGAAGTGCCTTTTGACAATGTTCTTTTGAAGAGTTAATGAATTTGTTGGGCATTCCTTAAGTTATGCTTTTGTGACAATGCTCTTTTGCTAATGAAAGTTCTCCAGCTTATATGATTCTGAAACAACTGTTTTGTTGAGAGTTTTAACATTCATCGAGAGAGACTGATCACATACTATTTGATCTTTAATATTATGTTTTATCCAGCATTAAGATTTCAAGGTTTATATTCTTGGTTCAGATTTTAAGATCTTGAAATGTGAAATTATGTTTTCAACTTTTCTTCTTGTGGAAAATTAAGTTTGTTTTTGCAACAGGTACATATTTTATGACATCAAATGTTTATGAAAAATTGTTTTACCGTTGAATGTTTTTCAAGCTGCTTCATTTTTTTTTTTTTGGTGTCTTTTATTGCAGAGAAAAGGGAGGAACATGTAAAGCAGGAGGAGACTCTCATTAATCGGAGTTCAACTCCAACACCTGTAGAGGACGGTGACCCGGTTATAGTGTAGCCTTGAGTGGATGCTAACCAACATCTATGGATATGTTTTGCACATCTACCCGTTATACTTGAAGCAAAGCCGCCTTACATTTAAATTGCATTTAAGGTCACCTTATGTGAGTCTTTTCGGTGTCTGATTTTCTGTTTTGGTGGTTAAAGAATGTTACTTCCTGGTTCATAACCTTTCCTTGTGCTGCTTTGAAGCTTAAGCTATTTTTGGCTTCGCTGGTGGGTGGTTGGATGGTACCGCTGGTTGGGCCTTTTAAATGACCCCACCTGTTCTTTCTCTCTATTGGTCTTGCTCTTTTTAAGCTCAAAATTACTGTTAATGTATCAGTGTGCTTCTCTTTACTATAAAAAAAAATGAACATATCTTAGCCTTACTCTGATCCTACCCCACTTTATAAATATTGCTTATATGTTTCCCTTTTATTCAGTGCCTGCCGGTTACTGTAACCCAAAATGTTCAACTTTGACCTGCTTTTTAGAAGGATAAGGTTTAATTTGAATGGGGTCTTTATCATAATTCTATTCTACCTTCTCAGAATATTGCCTCAGCCCGGTGTGCTAACGGGGGACCAATTACCATGTCTTTGAAAGGTTTTACGTTGTATCCAGTTCAGAAAGGCATTAGACTTCTTCGATATCAGCATTTGACCACATTCAGCGCACAAACAGTGTGAACTGAAAAAGATAACTGTTGCTGATCTTGACCAAACCCCCCCCCCCCAGAAACATACAATAAATGCAAGATTATATCAGAATGCTTAGAGAAACATCCTTTGAGATAAGATTTTTCTGTAAAAAAATCAATAGAAATAGCATCATGATTTGATGGGAACTTTAGCGTTAGACTTTACTTTTAATGTCAAATGAAACCTAGAATTTTGAAAAGACAAAAGATATGTCCTGTATATTGTTTGGTTGTCTCAGGTCATGCTGTGCTCTTTTCTTCTGCCTACATTTTGTTAAAAACATGAACATTTTCTGACCAGTCAGAAAGGCTTTCTGTGATGGGAAGCTGTATGTCACCTGTCCATGTTGCCTCGTGCCTTAATGGTGTCTGAAGCTTTGGCTTGGCTTAAGGCTTGCCCATTGCTGGGCTGAAGCAGAAAAAGCAGAAAGCCTGTGGAGAATATACTATACCTCGATACAAGTACAAAATTAAATGTGTGTCTGTGCATGCATCTGGCATTATTTTAAAGGTGTTAGTGTATTTTTTAAAATAAATAAAGCTAATCATGTTTGTCTTTCAAGTTCAAAGGTGCATGAATGCACAAATGGAAAAATTTTTTTCCTTGATGTATTTGTGAGTGAATTACAATTATTATGTTGGTTTTCAGGTACAAATGTGTGTGTTTATGTGCTTGTTGCATCGTTATTTTGCATGCATTAGTTTATTTGTGAGTGGATAATGATTATTATATTACTGTTCTCGCTCCTCTCTATTGCTTTATCCCAACCTGGATTTTTTGGAGTTAATGTTTGTTTGTTTGGGGTTTTATATATAAGAAGGTGGGTAGGGAAAGGGACTGATGGGGAAGAGTAGAGAACTTGTTTTTCTTTCTTTTCTTTTTCTTCTTCTTCGTCTACTTATTTTTTATTTACTTTTTTTGTTACATTTATTTTTTAATGGGGTTTCATTAATTAGATTTAAGCTGAATCCAAGAGATACACTGGCTGTGCACATCCACATGTTGAAATGAAGCTTTTAAATGCTCAAAATATGGTAAACTCTTCTCTGCCGGAACTGGTCTCATTGGCCATAATAGAAGCCACAAGTTATCTTAATCTTTATTTCTTCTGTTGTCTTTAATTCAGAAATATTCCACGCTGGGAAGGCAGTGGTCATTGTCAGACATTGACAGACAAACTTATCACATATTTTAATATGTTTTGGGGTACATGAGCTTTCTGACATTTGGAATAGTACTCAAAAACATTTGACTATAAATAACATTTGTGGATATGTGAAATATTATAAGCCATGACAGAGCTTAGTCACAACTGTATTGTCTTGTGTATTCAGTGCACACAACTGTTAAGTGTTTGTTGGGGACAGATAATGTACGTGTGCATTGTACCATTTGTAGTACTTCTTAGTACCAGCTAGAAATCAAATGATTGTATTTTAATTTGAGGTGAAGATTTTATTTTATTGTACTGTAACTTGTTGGTGTTTATAATTCCCTTAAGGGAAGACCCGGGTCAGCGATCCCAGGCAATATCGATAAAAATTTTCAAACTATCCTACTTTTGTTTTTTGTGGAAAAACATCCTTTGACATCTGTTCTATCGGGTCACAATGAAGAAACTGTTGAAAAAACACCCTAAATGACCTAAAAGGGCGTTTGAAAAGTGCAAATTGCTCTAAAAATCATTTTAAAAATCCCTGTTTTTTCTGTTTCTCTCAAAATCTATTTTTTGACATATGTAACCTCCTGGGTGCAAAGAGTTTTCAAAAACCAAATGAAGCTAAAAGCTTCAAATTTGGCGTACAGGTGGTTTAAGATTGATTCTAAGGATCTATGTAAGGGAATTTGGAAATATTGGTAACTTGTGGAAATATTCAAATTTTTTGTAATATGTACCCCAAAATTTCGTCAACTGACTCTAGGGGGTCCAATGACTTTGGGCTCACTTTTTTAGTTTTAAAGATAGGTCAAAATCCTCACATGGATCCCCAGTTCATATAGGTTTGTACTTGTGTGCCAAATTTCAGGCTGATAATTCAATATTTACTATGAAATTCTTCTGCACTAAGAAACTGATTTGAAAATCCAAGATGGCCGCCGCAGAGACCCATTTTTCAGAAAAATTCAACAAATTCACCCTAGTACATCCTATTTACCTATGAACTTCTTGCACAATTACATAAAAGTGAATAAAAGTCATTCGTTTAGAAAATTTTTCCGGGAGTGTACGTCTCCCCTTAAGCACATTTGGTACTCTGGGTGGCAATGGGTTTATTTTTAGGTCTGACATGCTCCCTAACAGTTTGAATTTGACTTGACCAGCATCTGTGGTGGAGTGGTTAGTGCTAGGCTGTTGCATGCTGGAGACCTGAGTTAGATTCCCGAGTTAAGAGAGTTTTTAATCCAGTATCTTGGTCTTTCTGCTGGGATGTTGTATCCCTATCTGCTCTGGTTGGCCCTGACAGACAGGGTCGAAGTCCGCCTCATAAGTGATCGGGCCTAAAAACATCTATATTTTGAAAATTTATTTCCTATTTGACACAGATGCCTCAGTATATATGATCTATTCGCACACCTGACTTCCTTTTGTTTGCTCGAGTAGAATTTAGAAAGAACCTGTACTATTTTGCTAATTGCTGGGTTTTTTTAGGCCCTCATGTTCCCCATGCGGGTGGTTGAAGTGATCTGCTCCTATTTTTTCCAAGATTTATATTCTTTTCAGCTTGTTATAGTGATATATGCAGGCATCGCTGTACTCATTTTTCGCAAACTGCATTGTTATCATGTTGACACCTTTATTATTTTTGTTTTCTATTTCATGAAGTTGATAATTGTTGCATCTAGTTTGTCTTTGACGGAGTAATGATGTTGTCTTGGTTTGAAAATGTTTCTTTCAGACACTTCTGTGTCCCGAGTGAGCGTAAGTCAGACATATCCATCGTCCATGACCGTAATCATTTGTTATTGCATTTAGTTTTATCTATTCACTTTCTGACACAAGACCTTTTGATTGCTTGGTTTTATGAGATGAAGGGCTGGCCATTAGTTCAAGTGGTTATAATGCTGGGCTATGGTGAGGATGACCATGGTTCAAATCTTTAATTCTTGACTTCAGATTGCCTTCAAGTAGTCAATTTTTGTTTTGTTTTGCACAATGTTTTTCACTTTTGTCCCAGGAAAATAAGTGTTATTTGTTTTGAACACTGATGAGTTGTTTTTAGAATAAAAAAGCCCATGGAGCTAGAGTTAATTTTTTTCAGACCTCAGATTTTCTGGTGTCAGAAACTTCACAGAGAATCTGTTTGCAGCTTTTTGCATACTAGATGTGCCATACTTTGTTATAACGGTGGTCCTCAGGAGGTTGGCAACTCTGCCCCAGCTTCCTTTTCCTACTTTCAGTTTTATGGGTAAATAGATAATATGGAATTTTATCTCATTCATACAGAGATAGCATAAGCAGCATGGCAGCTAAACTTCTTCTCTCCTTTCTGAGTTTTGCTAGATTAAAATTTTTCTGGCAAATTATGTTTTCCTGATTTTTTCTTAGATTTATGATTTACTTTTAAATCCAGAACAACATCCTACATTCTTTTCGTTATTTAAACAGCAGGGTTGTGTGATGGAAAGTCACATTTTGTGCTGGTGTTATAAATCAGTTCTGTTACCGAAGAAATTTTGTGTATCCTAGAGCATTGCATGGTTAAGTTTGTGGTGCATTTTTACATTTGTGTTTGTCTGTACATGTAAATTTTGTGTGTTGGTGTTATGACCCAAAATTTATGGTCCAAGATCCCTTTTCACAACAATAAGCAGTGGTTGGAGGGCACCCCTGGTAAGGCCTCCTCTTACTCTTTCCCTCTACTGCTCCTGTCCGTCTATCTTGTTTCTGTCTGCATGAAATGACCATTAGTCTCTTTTGTTGATGTGCTTCTTTTTATTCTAATAAACAACTCCTCTCTCACAGTGTGAGATTGATTGTAAAATTGGTTAAATACTTTGTTTAGTATGTTTTCAAGGGCTGTAGTTTTTTCGTCTGACCCCCCCCTCCCCCCCCCACCCCCCCCCACCCCCCAATATTTCTTTCAGCCCTTTTTTGGTATGGTTCTCTTCTTCAGATAAGAGGCTGACTTATATTGAGGGCTGAGTGATGGTTGATGTTGTATCTTTTTATGGTGCTTTCGCTTATGTTTCATTAGTGGGCACCAGATGCATGTCAGGAAAAGACAGACCTTTTAGACATGATTTTAATTAAAAAGCAAATATATTTTTGTTCTCAATTCTGACTGTTGTTTTTATTGATTTTAAATATGTTTAGAGAATCAAATAATACTGAATTTGTGAGAACACTTGTGTGATATTTTGTTGTCATGATTTTTGCTTTCATGACAAAGTGAAATGAACATTTTTGAAATACTATTCATTCTTATTGTAAATGCTAGTCTTGACCTTCATGACAGTCACAAGGAGGATGAAAAGAAAAGTATCCATGCTTGTTGTTTATGCATGTTCTCAACTTTCATGACAAAGTCACAAAGGAAATTTAAAAAAAAAGTATTCATGCTTGTTCTAATACATGCCCTTCACCTTCATGACAAAAAGAACAAAACATTTAAAAGATAGTTTTCATACTTATGGTAAATGCCTCAACTGCCTGTCCTTGAACTTCAGG